TGCAGCCCCACCACAGATATATGAGGCTGAATTTCAAAATTAAAAGTAACAAAATCAGACACGATGATGTTCATTTTGACTACTGTGTATATGGTTTCATTTAGTGGTTCCCAGTGTAGAGGTTTGAACCCTCCAACCTGTTACAAGATCACGATGACGGTTCACGAGATGAAATTTATGTTTATTTTCTCACCTTTTTCTGATGTTATTTTATTTTATTTTTTTAATTTTTGAAATCTAAAATAATTGTGCGTCTTTGGTCATCAAACAAACCATCTGAAAAATTTTGTGGAATTTTTTATTTATTTATTTTTTTAAAGCTCATCGACAAGACAAAGAGTCCCAGCAGCATTTAAATTAACATTTAATGTGAAGTGTTGGCCTAAACAAAAGTGTTAAATACCTGAAAAACATACACTATTTTGCTGTGAATGTAGCGGGTGTATTGAGCAGATTAATATACAGACTTGAGTAAAAGTACCTTTACTTGTTCTCACGTATATAAACTGTAATCCTGTGTGTGTGTCTGCAGGCATCATTAAGCTGCGGCGGAGTCCACCTCCCCGCCTGAGGGGTCCTCAGTACGTCCTCAACATCACCGCCACCGACGACAACGCGTCCGGTGGGCCGTATCCTCTCAGCAGCTCTGCACAGGTCATCGTGGGAATCAACGACATCAACAACAACAAGCCCGTGTTCCAGGAGGTGACTGAGGTTATGTGATATCATGAGTTTAATTTAAAAAGAAAACAAAAACATACAGTACAAATTCAGTTCTGTTCTGTCTGTGATCTCAGTGTCAGAACTACAGTTTGAATGCGGCGGTCTTGGAGAACCAGCCACCAGGGACGTTCGTCCTGCGCGTCCAGGCCCACGACGCTGACATGGGGGTCAACGGAGAGGTCAAATACGGCATCATGCACAGAGACGGAGTGTCGTCTGGGTTTGACATTGATCCTGACACTGGTAGGCTCCAGAGACATCGGTACAGTTTGTCTGAATGCACACCGAGAACAAAAAGATTGTAGGAAAGTGTTTATGTAAAATAGATCCCAACAGGTAGTTTTGTGAGTAACACACTGGTCTACACACATTTTGGTGTCAAAGTTTTTTGAGCTGATTTTGGACATTTGCAATGTGCTGAATCCAAATATTACATTGGTTTTGCTCAATGAGGTCAAAATTTTGATTTGTCGCCACATGCACTTTTTTTTTTTTGTACATTTTTGTGTACATGTGCAGGTATCTATGCTTTATGTCATACAAAATTCTTTTTCTATTTCTTGAAATTAACAAATTCTGAAACCTTTACCTCCTGGTTTATGAACAACACATTAGAGTCACATGATTTTATCAGAACGAGATGGAGACCAGGTATCAGGGACGCTGGGATGCAGTCATGATGGCTGATTACTGCTGGACTCTGAAGAGAGAAATACCTGCTGCTGATTATTCCAGGAGTTCCAAGAAGTTCAAGCCCTGAATTTTGAGCAATGCTGATGAAACATGCAATTTACTTCTATTTACCTTTACAAATGTTTACGCTCAGCAACTTTTGGATCATTTAGGTTAAGAAAACTATTAGAAAATTAAATTTTTCTTCTAAAATCTGATTTCATATGAGAAATACTAAAATAAATCAATCGTTAATGTCAAAAAATGTAATCGATTTGGTGGCAAAATCGATTTTTTTTTAATTGAGTTGGCGTAAAAACCTGACCTGATACAGAAAAGCAGACGTCATTTTTGGATTCAGCGTTGCAACAATGTCCTAAATCAGTTTAAAAAAATCCTAGACACCTTCAATAAAGTATTTTTTGTAACCCGGTGTTATGAAACGCTTCAATTTCAGGAAATCTTAACAATAAGATCCAAGCAGTGACACTCAGATAACTGTAGCCATGGTAACGTGGTCCCTGTGTCCGTCAGGTGTGATCACCACGGCGGTGAGCTTTGACCGGGAGCGTCAGAGGGAGTTCACGCTGTCGGTGACGGCCACCGATCAGGCCGAGGAGCCGCTCATCGGGATCTGTCAGATCACAGTGCTGATCTCAGATCAGAACGACAATGACCCCAAGTTTGAAAACAGCCGCTACCAGTGTGAGTACGACTGCTGCCGTCACGTTACTGCAACTACTTCCTGCACTCCACCGATACGCCTTCTGATGCTGCTCCATGGCTGCTGCTCCGGGTACAGATTGTGCCATTAGTGGCCCTTTGTTCTGTTAGTGCTGCTGTTTAGAGGTCCACAAGCAGTTTTCTGCCTCCGTTTTATCTTTCAGCGTTTTTTTTCATCTTGTGTGTCTGTGAAACAAGGCGGCGATACATTAAAAAGTTTCCTTCCCTCAGAGCCGCCCACACCGCCGTCTCTCGACTCGCTCCGTCCTCTTCCACGCAAAACCCTCTGCTTGTGTTTCGAGGAAGCAGGTGAAGCGTGGAAACTGTCTGCTCGCCGTAGATCCGTCTGCGTCCTTGTAATCCTAGAAAGCTCTTAAGACGGATGAAATATTCGCCGCCACCTCCCGCGGGTCCATGTTTGTTTACTACGTGTGCAAATATGTGTTTTGATAAGCGTTGTGTCAGAAGTTCTCGTCCGGTTAGGGAAACGCACAGAGTGGCTCATTAACTATTTAAGAGGCAGATTGAAATGTTTCTGGGACATGCATTCATTTACCACGAGCGAGTGTGTTTATTGGAGGAGGGGTTGTTCCTGCACGAATGAAGGAAATGAGCCGGAAACCACCTCTTGTTTAGCCTACTTGTTATTTATCTTATAGTCGTTATCCGTATACAGCAGCGCGGCGGGAAAAAAAAAAGATTCCTGGGCTTCGGGGACGGCATGATCAGCAGCTCTCGGGTGTTTTCTCCGTTGCTTTTTCACTTCACTTTCTATTAGCAGTAACATATTCTGAGTTTTCCTCTCCTCCAGAGGAGCCTGTTTACTGTATGAGTGAGCAGTGTCCTCTGGCAGCAGAAACAACTTTCAGACGCCTGTGAACATGAAAGTAGTTTAAATTTAGTGTAGGTTTGAAAAAGTCCTTTTCGAAAATATTTTTCAGTGAGAACTACGCACCTCCCCTCGACCTATAGCAGACTCCGATCAGATCTTGTCATGTTACAGATGTACAGAGATACAAACTGAAGGTAGAATGAATGTCAATGAAACACATGCTGGTTCTAAGGTCTGGCTCTAAAACCAAATTGGGTTCTGGTTTCTGTTTTTCAGACACTTTTTGATATAATCAATGCAAGATGGTGAATCTGCTTGTTTACCAGCAGGCTTTGAGTGTTTCACTGCAGATGTAGACAACAAGTACGTGCAAGACTGTCAAATATTTTCATACATTCTTCATTCTTTCTCCCTGGTTATCCAGGTTATCCAAACAACAACTCGAAAATGGCTTCAAATGCCTCTGAAATGTGATGAGAATAAACAAATATGGGACATAGTGAATCCTGGATATGCTGTAAATGGGAAATGTACAGAATATGCATTTGTTCATGATGAGTTAACCAGGGTACCAGTTATCCCTGGTATTGTCTGGTTCCTAACAAGGACCGGCTTCTTTGTTCTGAACATATATGTTTCAGGTGGAAACGCTTGCAACGTTTCTAAATCAGATTTAGAAAAACAGAGACTACAGATGAAAAATAGCCTCTGGGCTAACTCTGGCTCATTAACAGCAATGTTTATTAATGTGCACTGTCCCTGTTAAATAAACCAACAAATTAGTAAATAAATAAACTGAACCGCTTCAGTGTTGGTGGAAATATGTGAAATATGTGACTGAAAAGACTTGAGTTCCAGAGTAAGCAGTTATAAAAGTCAGAACCATCCATCCATCCATCCATTATCTATACACCACTTAATCCTCACTAGGGTCATGGGGGGCTGGAGTCTATCCCAGCTGACTCAGGGTGAAGGCAGGTTCACCTGGACAGGTAACCAGTCTATCACAGGGCTACACTTAGAGACAGACAACCAAGCACACTCACATTCACACCTACGGACAATTTAGAATCACCAGTTAACCTCAACATGTTTTTGGACTGTGTGGGAGGAAGCCAGAGAACCTGGAGAGAACCCACGCTGCACGGGGAGAACATGCAAACTCCACACAGAGAGATCCCGGGTGTCCTCACCGGGACACGAACCGGTGACCTTCTTGCTGTGAGGCAACGATGCTAACCACCGATCCACCTTGCCGCCCAAAATAGAGCATTCTGACTGGTTGAAAACTGCATCTCCGGCTAAAATTTTAATATCTTGACTTTTGTAAGGGCTAAACGTGAACATCAGTCTAGATTCCCATGCACTCTGCTTGATCGTAAGGATGCTAACCACGGAGCCACCTTGCAGCCCAAGTCAGAGCCATCAGCTGCCTAAATATGTATATATATCGTTTGCATTTATCAATTATCTTCATATCAAGAGCGGTAAAAAGTAAAAGCCTAATTTGCTGTGATCACCCTTCTTCCTGATACACTCGTGTTGTTCGGTTAGGTTAACAAAAGCTCATTAGCGCGGCTTTATTATTATTATTAATATTAATGGACATCATTACTCGAACAAAAGGAAGATCGTACAGCATCGTTCTGATCCAGGCTGCCTTGTTTGCAGCGGTGAACCCTGGGAGGCAGACGAATCCCGTGTTCGCTCCTCCTGGTTGTTTTGGTTGCCTCTCTGTGACACACATTAGACTCAGCAGGAACCGACGCGATTATTCAGTTGAAATGTATCCAGTGAGACCCACGGATGTGAAAAGGACATTATTATTGACATAATGCTTGAAATGCAGTATTACAGAGGGAAATGCAGCAGCCGACCTCCTCCCCGCTCGTTGTTTTTGTTGTCTGATAAGCGCTGACATGCATCACAGTCAGCAGGATTGGAGGTTATATTCATAAATTTAAAAATGCATCAGTTGACTTTGCAGAGTGAGACCCAGAAATGACAAAATGAGGTGACACACTGCTGACACAACACAACGCTGCGTTCCCATTATTATAATATCTGCTTACCATCACAGAACATGATGTTACACTGCGTTCAAATTTAATGAAATTCACTATTCATGATTTAGACGCGAGCACGAGTCAGAGTAGGATTTTGGTTGGAGCTCAGGAATCTGGGACATCTGATGGAGATACGAAGCAGTTTGTGTTTTCTATGTCTGACCACTCCCTGGTATCCTCTCTATAAAGCAGCAGTGAGGTAGTACCTGTTGTACTACTAGTATTATTCCTGACAGGTAATCTCTTCTCACTCGCAGATTTCCTGAGGGAAGACACCCCGGTCGGGACTAGTTTCCTGCGAGCGGCGGCGCACGACGACGACCAGGGAAGTAACGCCGCCATCACCTATTCGCTGTCCAATCAGAAGCCGGCGTATTTGCACATCAACCCGAGCACAGGCTGGATTTATGTCAACCATCCCATCTCACAGGTGAGCAACTACACCAGCAGCCTCGTATTCAGTCCCTGAAATTAACACTTAACTGGATTCTAATACTTAAATTTTATTGGCAGTTTTACAACAATGGCAACCAACAGCACAGTGCATGAACATAGTTACCAGAGTCCATATCAACTCACAAGAGTCCGTTTTACAAACATAAGCTACAGATAGAGCTCCAGGGCTGTAAGAAGAGGGTGGAAATGTCAGGGTGACAGTAATACACAGCCTGTGCACTTCTGTCTTGGCCAAAATACATACAGAATTGTATTCAAAGAAGATGAGAACCGCCACCATGCCGATCCCTCTTGTCCTGAAGTCCATGAAAAAAGTCCATTTCTTCCACCTTGCCATGTAAAGGTCCTTTGTTAGTCTAAGAAGCGAAGTAAGTCTTTCCATCTCATGGAGTTACAAAAGGACAATAACTTCTAATAACTTGTAAACTAAATTTTATAATTCATCCCACATCCACCCAACCGGTCGAGGCAGATGGCCGTCCTTCCCTGAGCCTGGTTCTGTCGAAGGTTTTTTTTCCCCTGTGGGGGTTTTCGGTTCCTTCCCACTGTTGTGGACTGCTTTCGGACTGCTGAAGCTTATAGGGAAACCAAATGTTTTGGATTGTTGGGTGTTTCTGTTTCTGCCTTTGTGAAGCGCTATGAGATGACTTGTTGTTGTAAATATGCGCTATACAAATAAAATTGAATTGAATTGATTTCCTTCATAATACTGAACCAGTTATCTGCTGTCGGTGGATCAGATCTCAACCGATTTCTGGTGATTTGCCTTCTTTGCTGCTAAAATCAAAATTTTCAAGAGATATTTGTCATTTCCTGTCAATTCCTCTGGTGCATCTCCCAGATAGAGTGACACGGACGTTGGTGGGATCCGGCATCTGAGAATATGTTGTCCACTTGTTCTAACATTTACCCAAAATGGTTTTATCAGTGGAAAGTTCCAAAAAATATGGCGGTGATTTGTCTCATCATCACCACAGTTACGCCAACATTTTTGGTATGATGATGATAAATTCACTTTCATCTTGGGAGTAATAAAAAAAACGGGTCTTCCAAGAATATTCCCGCCAGTACAAAGAGCAAGACGTGGAAAACACTGATTCACACGTGTTCTTCCATTGTTGGTTGCTTGCTTGTATCTCCATGTAGCATTTTTAGCTCCAAAGGCTATAATGGATTGACTCAGTCCTAACTTAAACCTAATTCTAACACAAATCCTTAAACAGCCCATTAAAACGTCCTCACTGACGAAAAACTAATTGGCAGCACCTCCTCTAAACCCTTTGTGTGCCCGTCCTCCACCCCGACCTCCTCCCAATATAAATGTTATTTCTAGGAGACAGGGTTGATCCAAGTCACACAAATATAAACTAGTGGAAAAAAACATGTGAAAGAAAGCTGGAAAATACCTAAATGAGACCAGAGCATTAGCACAGGATCACGAGTTCATGAGGTCTCCAGGTCGAGGTTATGACACCAATGTCAGCAGATGTTCGCTTGTCTCTACTGTCGGCAGAATAAAAGTTGCATCAAACAGACTGCTGCTGTAAATCTTTAATGGTTGTCGTATGTGTGCGCAGCTCCTTCTTTGTACAACCTCTCAAAGTCAAACTGAAAATCCATCTGAAGTGAATCCGCCTGTTAAACAAACGTCCGCCATGAATGATGCCGACTGTTCTTCTGTCGCTGTCATCCTCTCTGTTCTTCTCCTCTGCCTCTCACTTCCTTTTTCAACGGCACTTCAGTCAATAATTTAGTAAAGGCAGATTTACCCACTTTCTTTATTCACTTTTTTTTCTTACAAACAAACCAAAAGATCAACATTTTAACGTTTCCTTTTTCCTCTCAGCTCTAATATTTACTTATCTTACAAATGTTGAGCGGGCTTTCACAGCTGCCAAACAACCGCTTGATCATTAAAGTTTGATTTTTAAGATAACAAGACCAAGTTTTAATCCCAAACTTGTGCTTTTATTTCTTAAAACGTAAAAGTTGTGAAAAGGTAGATGTTCTCTTCAAGTTGTGAAAACCTGAAAGAAATAATAAACGAAGCAGCTCTGAATAAATACTCGTTGGTTTGTTAAATGATTCGAGTTGTTTTGTGTGCATCTGCCTGCAGACATCCAGGATCAGTCAGCAGATCGTGGCGTCAGACGGAGGGAACCGCAGCAGCTCCGTGGAGCTGACCGTCATCATCACCAACGTCCACAACCAGCCGCCACACTGGGAGCAGCCAGAGTACTGGGTCACCGTGCCAGAAAACACCGTCCGAGACGCCAAGATAGTGGTGAGTTAGTGAGGACTTGTTTTGGTCGCAGGAAAACTCGGCTTCTCGTTGGTCCTGATGTGCTCAGGTGGTTCTAAATCTGGACTCCACAGCCTTAAAATGTTTGACTTCCTTCTTGAGAACATATGAACATCTAAGGGGCGGCTGTGGCTCAGGTGGTCGAGCGGGTTGTCCACCAATTGCAAGGTGGCGGTTCAATCCACTATCCCTCTACAGTCGAAGTGTCCTTGGGCAAGACACTGAACTCGAACTTGCTCCCAATGGCAGGCAGCACCTTGCATGGCAGCTCTGTCACCATTGGTGTATGGGTTGGTGAACTGGTGAATGGGTGAATGAGACAAACATTGTAGGCTTTGGATAAAAGTGCTATATAAGTGCAGACCATATCATCTCTCAAAATGAGAGCGCTGACACTGAAACATAAAATTAATAGCATGTTTATATTGACTGCCATAAGAACACAAGTTTCTTCATGTTGGTTGTTTGCATGTGGATTCTTGAGGCCTTCCATCAGAGAATGAAGGTCCATCTTTTTTGTCGTTCTGAGGTCGCTGAGCTTGGCGCACAAAAGCTCTCAAAATGGCTAAAATTGGCGGCTGACTCATATACTACAACTTTTTTTTTTACAAAGTTTTTATTGTTCTCAAGTTCTTATATTTTTGCACTGAAAGGACTGCACCTTCTTTCGCTGTACTTGTTACAATGACAATAAAACAAATCTGAATCTGAATTTGAATCTGAATCTAAACACGTAACACTGTGTGCAGGTTTAACAGCACTGGCGAGTTGGAGTTTTTAAAATTCACTCTGATATAAGAGCTTAACGTTGTCTAGTTTGGCCTCAGAGTTGATCAACAAAAATTAGCTTACGTCTTAAAGTCTTTGTAAAGCAGTAAAAAAACATGTTTTCTTAGTTTGTCACACCACAAGAAATTACTATTAACCACTCAGCTACATTTAAATTATTCAAAAATCTGCAAATACATAAAATTAGGTTTCAAAATTATCTGTTCTGATAACATTAATATCATGCTGGAGCACTGACCATGCAAACAGACCTGAGTTCATTCTAACTAAACCAAACACGTGACACAAGTGCACACTGAATGGGAGAACCTCTGATTCTAACACTTCAGTCCTCGTGATGTTATAGTGGATGGAGTCGTGCAACACCTACGATTCAGCACTATGCAGTCCAGTCTTTCCCATATTTTAGACGTGTTTAGAAACAAATCTCCAAATTTCTTTTACAGTGACTTTGATTATGAAAAAAAACATAAATGCAGCATCTTTAAAATAATTTTATAAAGCAAGAATGGCATTTTTTTGGTATCAGCCGTGAACGCTCCAGTGTTTTTTTGGTGTGTGTTGACATCAAAGCTCCTTCTTTACGGCTGCTGCTGCGGCTTCTTCAAATAGGTAGCTTGCCTGAAAAGTTACCGATCAATAAGCTCCTTCTTCTGATCACTTTAAGTAGCTCTAAGATCTAGAAAGTGACACGGAGGAGAGTGGAAGGAGAGAGAGAGAGCAATATTTAATCCCAGTCGTCCTCCTGCAGCTGTTGGAGTTCTCTTTCATTTACATCCTCCTTCACGTCTGTGCACCAGCACCCCGAGGAGGCTACAAACACTTTTTCTTCTTCTTCTTCTTACTTCGCCCCTCTCTCCTCCCTTTTTCCGCTCATCCACCCCTCTCTCTCTCTTTCTTCCCCCCTCTGTGTCAGCACGTTTAGCCGAGCACTTCCAAACATTTTCTGCCGAGCAAACAACAAACCCGCCCTGAGTTTGTCTCACCTGACTCTCTGCAACACACACACACACACACACACACAGTTTGCTTGTATACCTCCGGTGATTTTTTTTTTTTCTCCCTCTTTTGATCCCTCCATCCTAATTTGCTCTCTTTTCCTAAGCCGCTGGTTTAGAAGGTGGAGGAGTTTTTACCCTCCAGCTGCTCGATTTCATGGAGGTTAGTCAGTTTTCGAATAGTTGGAGGGTGCGTGCGTGCAGTCTCGCTGTGCTGCTGCGCTTTTCTTTGACCCTGCATTTTTTATTTTTTGTACTGAAAAGACTAAAAACGGTGATGATGATGTTGATGATGATGATGGCGACTGGAGGTTGATCCGCCCACAGCTCCATCTGTCAGAAATGATTGAGGAGAGGGAGAAAATTGCACCTGCTGTCGGAGCGTCACAATGGACTCTCATCACCTCCGAAAAAACAGACATTTAATTACTGTGTTTAGCCTGACAGAGGCTGAACGACGGTGGGGGAGAGATGGGAGTCAGATGTAGGAAGGAGATCTGTTGGTTTTGGTCCTTTTCGAGTGATTTGTTGACAATATAGTTTAAAAATGAAATAACATGAGCTTTATTCTTCAATCAGGAGATGTAAAGTCCTCGTTCCGCCATCTTTCTTATTTCTAAATTCTGTTTGGACGTCAGGTTTTTCTCTCCGTGTTTTATTTCTTTCATTTGCCTTCTTGTGCGACAGTCACCCGTTTGGATCTCGTGGCGGCGCTCCATCACGTTTTAAAATCTGGTGAATATTCAACTGAAGCTTGACTTCAAATCAAATTGCACTATCTGTCACAAATCAGTTCTCCAACCGGTTCAGCCCAAGACTAAATCAGAATAACATTTCAACAAATCACTCAAAAACTTAGAAATGTCTCCTCCTCTTCCTCTTCCTCTTCCTCCTCCTCCTCCTCCTCCCTCTTCATCTCCTCTGCTGCGTTAATTGCGCTGAGGAGGAACTGTTGTTTTAAATTTAGCAGCCTTAATAAGGTCTGTTAATTACACTGTTAACGAGGTGGATGCTGCAGAGGTGGAAGCCGCTGTGCGTGTGTGTGTTAAATCTCCATATCAATAAGCCCTAGTCGCCTCCTGCACGTGTGCGAGTTACAGGTTTTGTTATCCTCCTTATTGGCTGACTTCCTCCGGCTTTCTTCCTCATCCTGTTTTTCTGTGGCAGACAAAAATAAAGTAGTAAGTCTGTGGACCAATGATGCACTGAGAAGAATCCTCAAAAGTACAGAGGCTATTATCCCCA